GGGAAAGAGAGAGGCTCTCCTGGCCTCTGCACACGCTGCTGTTGTGCCTTCCCAAATGGTATGGTAACACTCTTAAGCATGAAACTTGACTGGCCTCATCATTTACACCTCCTTTCTGACTTTTACAGGTCAGAAAGTTATACAACCTCTTTAGCGCATATTCAGTCTTTTTTCTCCTAGTTCACTGAATTCTGTAGACATCTGTAGAAAAGAATATTTCTCTCAGTTACGAGTCAACACATACCAAGGAATCATCTTCAAACCTTTGTTGGTAAAAGAACCACACAAAAAGTGTTGGGGTTGCTCCACCTGAAACTGGAAACAGATCCCTAACTGCTCATGCTCACAGTGACTCGAGGCCAGAGGAAGGCAAGTCCACCACTCTCCTCCTTCAGAAAACAGAGCAGAAGCTGGGGAGCCCCAACAACCCAGCATTGTAACAGGGAGACAAATGACTTCCCAAAGAGGAAGAACCATGTCTGAGAAAGCACCAAGTAGAATCCAAGTGATGGCTGAACTCACAGCAGCAGCTCAGAATCCCAGCCTGGTTTGTGTTGGAAGGGACGTTAAAGCTCATCCAGTTCCAACCCCTTGCCACGGGCAGGGACACCTTCCACTAGAGCAGGTTGCTCCAAGCCCCTGTGTCCAACCTGGCCTTGGACACTGCCAGGGATGGGGCAGCCACAGCTTCTCTGGGCACCCTGTGCCAGCGCCTCAGCACCCTCATAGGTTCAACCTTCCACTGCAGCACACAAAAATCACACCTCTGTAGGTAGATGAGTATAGACATTAATTAAGGCATTTGGGTATAAAGCCATAAACAACTGAGGGATGCATTTTAAGGAAGTGCTGTGAATGCTCTTTTGTAAGTCGCTCCATTTCTTCTGAATGGTAATTTATCACACATGTACGTGCTTCTAGTCCATCGCTTGAACTTCTGCTATCAGTGTTAAACCAGCGTTTTCACTCCAGGATAGTTCTTGCTAATAAACACATCAAGTCAGTCACTTGAAATCACAGGGACATGACATAATGCTCTACTTGTGGACAAAATACAGACTCGAGTATAAGCCTCCAAGCTATTAAAAACTCACTTCTCAGTGAAAACTGTCAAAAAAAGAAGAAAAAAGAGAACCAAGGGATTTATTTTGCAATCACTTATGGTAAACTCAAACTGGAGTCAAGAGAAAGTTGATTAAGAACAGACATTCAAGGTCCAAACTTTTAATGTTCACCCTAAACAACTTTGGGTCCTATTGCAGGAGGTAAATCAGCAGTCGACAGTGCAGAATACCATAAAAACACAATCTCAAACTACTTGACAGCATAAGCATTAAACCCTGAAATGAATGACCAATGTCAGTTCACCAGCTACCTACACATAGGATAAGGTCACCATCGAAATATCTCACTGATTTATTTTCATTTTTAAAAAATACTTATAAAAACTTCATGCTGCTTGTATCTGGGTACATGGCAGTTTAAATAGAAATGGATATCCCTGCCTTTGTAACAGAAAAAGATTACATTTTCTTACTTTGTTGCTTAAATCTCATCCAGAGCTTCTTGGTTTTTATTTACCACCTACCAGCACACCACTCAGTCTACTTTTCAGTGTCATGAGACATGAAACTTTCAACACTTCACTAGGACCTATTTCACTGTTCTACAGATACCCTACTGAATGGCTGTTCCTAAATCCCAGTATAAGACTTTTACTTAGCATATTCCTTTTTTCTTTATTGTATCCCTTTAGCTATCTTAATCTGAGGTCTACTTCTGTTCCTTGAGTTGGTGTTTGGTACCTTTTGCTGACAGTCACCAGGCCTGACTTTGATTTACTCTCTTTTCTTGGATGCCAATTCAGCAAAGCAATACATGACTCTAGACCCTGATTAACTCTAGACTGATTTGTCCAGGCTGTGAAGAATCCATACCACACATACCCAGCCACACAACAAGAGCATGTTGCTCTATAACCAATCCGTTCACATCCAGGATTGGTCCACCCCTGCTTAATCAAAGTCCGTGCTTAACTTCAAACACATGTTTGAGCACATTGTTGGAAAAGGATGGTTTGTGGTGCTGTTTATAACCTTTCAATATTTGTAACACATGATGGGCAGTCACCCTTTTTCCATCAGCCAAAAAACTGAGTTTATCCCCAGCCCCATTGTTAGTTGCCAGCCCAACAGAGATGCTGGATTCCAGCAGTGTTGCACCATACATTCTAAGAAAGGGACAAACTTTTCCTCATGAACTCAAGAGCTTTAAGAATTCCTGCATGTTGCAAAGTGTCCTTATAAGTTTATTATTATCTCCTATAGTCTGTCTCCTATAAATCGTGGCGAGACTGCTGTGCAGCAATCCCAGGAGCTGAGTGATTTATGTCCCCACTCCTAAATTTGTGTTGAGGAGACGACAAAAACTTGCAATGTCTAAAGACACTGTGAATAAAAAAACCATGAAGCCATTCTTTACCTTGTCCCTGGGAAACATACTGGAAGAGTCATAGCCCACAGCCATTTGAAATAAAACAAATAAACAAACAAATCAACCTCTGCAACAAAGGCCACTTTGTCTCTCGTTCCCACCCAATCGCACAGGGGTTACCATAAGCTAATGGTGGCCCAAAGGTGGTCACCAGGATCTCACACATTTGGTTCATATGTTTGTTTCATTGTGGAAACACACAAACAGACTAAGTTTTGAGGTAAGGGAGGAGACAGGGAAAATAAGGGCATTGGGATGGAGATGGAAGTATTCATAGAGTCTGCCCTTTGAAAGCCTTTGATCTGTTTGGTTAGGTCACGAGTGTCAAATGACCAACTTATGAGCCAGCAAAATGGTAAACAGATATTACAAGGGCAGGAAAGCAGACAGCCATTAGCATTCCCAAAGAGCCACAAACCAGAAAAAAACAACAATCCAGTCCCCACATCCAACAGAAACCAAACAAAACAAGGTTGTGCATA